AAGGTGACAGAGAGGACCTGCAGTATTTGACAAGGCAGTGCCAATGTACGCGTGGGTGGGTTGTTAAGAAAACACCTTATTGCTCTCAATTGAATGAAATCCATGCGAATCTCTTGGAGGAGGAAGAGCAAAAGCGTCATCGGCCACCAAATGTGTGTACACGCGTATACGTATGTATACTGACATCACAGCGGTTCACCTGCTGCTGTGCACGCAGTGATGATCCAGCGATGCTCAAGTGGGCGTATACCCATGCACGCGTGCATGCCGAGAGATTCCAAGCTCTTTGAGCAGAATTCGAGCCCTCGGATGAAGGCCACTTTGGTAACGATTGCGAATCGTTGATCAGCCAAACAAGCTTGAACGCACTCTTCCTCCGTTGACTCTCCATCTGGAGCTCGAAGAGCCTGGAGCGGGTACACCATATACAAGCTTTGTCCCCAAGTACATACCGATTAGCCGAAGCAGTTTGTAATGCGCATCCTCCCTCCACCCCTTTAAAGTGTACTCAGCCGCAAAGTTAGAGGTCGGTTGGTTGGTTGCTTGTCTAACTGCGTGACACTTGAGAGAACTATCGTAGGTACCTATGTTTGTACAAATTGATACGATGGATGGACCGAGAACCCTACGTTGCCCCGCGACGAGTAGAGCATTTAATTTACTTTTTTTCGAGCGGCGTGCTTTGGATGTCCATAAGCACTATACGCTTGATGTAGCTAATATCCTTTATCCTTTCATCCCTTGAGCTCCATGTGTTTACAACACATCATATTCGTTAAAAGTTGGCTGTTTCTGATTGCGAAAGCTTATGAAGCGCTATATTGTATCATACCTACTGGACAGCTCCGGAAAAATAATGTAAGGATCACTTGTTTTTGTTATTTCATTTGGCGGCTTTAAAAATTCACCACCCCCCCCCCTCACCTTTTTTTGATACAGTATTCGCTAATTTTCGAATTTTGAACTGCCACTTCTCTACTGCGGACGGAGAGAAAAAGCTGCACATCGGCTCCCCGAGCTGTCTAGGAGTGATTAATGCTCTGGATCGAAAGGGGGGGTTACGGATACAGTGAGCCAGAGAAAAAGAGAGAGTGAAAAACAGGTTATCGACGGGCCCATTGTATCTGCACTTATTTGCCGGGGATGAGTTATAATAGGGGGCGAAAACGCTGTAATGGAGTACCTATATTAGAAACCCCCATTTGTTGGGGCGATTTTTGAAAAAATAAATATATGTATATGTATCCATCGTACCTATACCTACTCGACAACGATTGACCGAGTACTGAGAGTTGATCATCTCCTCCCTGTAGGAAGAAATGAAAAATTTAATCTCCCGACATCCCCTCAAAAAAGAGGTCTTTAAACGAAACAAAAAAAAAAAAAAAAAAAAGTAATGCATAAAAGATCCAGTCGAGCAGAGTAGATAATTCTGCCTGTACTCTATGTATACAGAGCACTGTAGGTCTCGAGAGAGCCCCCGCACTCGAGATCCACCCCCCCCCTTTTGTACTTTTCAAACAACAGAGTCCGCGCTTCTCCACAGCGTGCACTGCATCGCTCGTCCGTCCAGTGCTTCACGCAATACAATTCAAATGACATTTAACAACAGCAGCATCGCACTCGTTGAATCCAATATAGATCCGATACAGAGATAATCGCTCGTTTGTCCGTATACTCCTTTTGTTGGCGAGAGAAGACGTGTACCGTTGTCCCTTTGACCGGGGGTGTGCTGCACGTGCTACTACTTGACGCGAGGAGGGCGGGCGAACCAACCCCCTCCTTCGCGTATACCTCGTACCGTCAAGTCACATAATGGCCCTTATTCTGTTAAATTGAGCATCGGCCGAGTGATTTACGCCGATTGCCTCGCTCGCGTCCTTACTCGTCATATCCAAAAGAGGTGTAGGTTTATATATGTGCCATACAGGGGGTTAATTGTTACACGTATACAATAGAAAACGCGTACGTGATCGTGCGGTAACTAATATTACATTTTACGAGTTTGTTACGTTATATGCTCGTATCTATCGTACATTTGCCGTGAGATATTTTGACTAAACGCTCGTGTCACCATCGTGTTTTTAATAACACGTGCACCTGCGAGTGTTACATATCTACATTTGAAGACGAGCAGAAATCGGAAAATGAACTTATCACACCTAATACGCAAAAAGAAGCACGTCCGGGGGCCGGGGGGTAAGCTTTGCAAGCCAATCAGCATCAGATGTGTATGTATTACCGGCAAAGAGTACACGAAAGCAAAATAAATGTAAGAGGCCATAGCGCGAAGCTGCCGAAGAATGTCCGACCTTCAAAACCAGAGGAACCAGCCCGTACGTGTACCCGTAGGTATATAATATTATAGGTACACACACTTATACACGGGAAAAGGGAAGAACGCGAATGAGGGAGCAGAGGGGGCACACTTCATGCCGGGGCCATTTAACGATCCTCGCGAAATTGAGTCATCGCGCGGTTCGCCCGGAATCTCGGATATTTTCCTCCTCCCGCGACGACCGCGCTCCCTCGTCTATTTTCTCCTTAGCGCGAGTTCGTACTATGCCGAGCACTAGGGCCCTCCCCCCCCCGATGTGCATGTATAGCCAGTCCCCCCGCGAGCTGAATGCAAATGCCGGCTACCTTTTTTTGTTTTGTTTACTGATAGCAGAGAGAGCGCGCGCCTTTGATTTCGTTTTAGGAAGTATATAAATATATTTAGCCTAGGATCGAATTAGAGTTGCTAATTTAACGCGTGTACCCGGGATGTGCTTTGATGAAACGAGAGATGAGCCGCGGAAGGGCAAACGGGGGTAGGGTTTCGGTGCGTCAAAGGCAAAATAATCAACTAGAAAACCAAAGCGTTGAAACTCCCAGTAAATTCCAGAGTGGATTATTCAACCATTTTTGTAAATTAACTTCGTTGCGAGCGCCACGGCGGGGGTAACCTGGTTTATCATCATGTTAGCAAAAGGGGGGACGCAGGGGTGTACAGGTATATGTGTTGAGAACGATAATAACAATTATAATGATAACGGCAGGGCTTTTAATTTGATTTCGCTGGTGCAGTTTAAATCATTTTTTTTGTGCAAAGTTACATTTTTTGGTTTCTTTTCTTTTCATCTCTCGGGAGAGCGAAGCTATTATAAGAAGAAAAAAAAATTAAAAAAAAAGGAAGCTCTCGGTATATTCGACGAGAGCAAGGCAGCCAAATCAAGGGTGTGTGTATAATACACGCTCGGCCTCAACTCTCTCTCTCTCTCTCTCTCTCTTTGTAGTAAGTAATCACTCGTTAGCGCACGAGAGTCAAGTACTTGCCTAATTAACTCTCGGGACTGTTCGTATGTACATACTCTCATGGCGAGTCATAACAGCCATTTAAACTTTTTGCTCTGGCTCTTTGGCCTTTTTTTTTTTTTTTTTTTTTATTTTCAACTGAAATCCAAACGGCAGTACTGCGAGTTATCGGCTTGTTTTCCCTTTTTACTCTAAATTAGGGAGACTCGCGCATCCCTTGGTTGTTTACCGTGGGAGGAATCGTTTTTGATTTTTTGACGACTCGCGTTACGCGAATCGAAACCGGTTGGTACTCGAGACAAACACGTATATCCCACCTAAATTAAATTGAAAACTCTCAATCGCCCACGCAACGATCGATCAACGCACATTTCCGTCCGTGCGATCGGGAGGGGGTAGTAGGTGGTGTAATTAATTTCGCCAGCCCCGGCGAGCGAGTCAGTCGTCGAGCCATACAAACGATCGGCAGCATCGGAGCAAAGTTCAATAAAGTATCGAAGTCGTCGAGAATGCTTCCTCCTCCTCCTCCTCCCGCTGTTGGAAAATTCATTAAAGGAATCGCCGGGTGAAGGCTGATAAGTGCCGAGAGCCGGAAAATAAGAAAAGAAAAGGGAAGCGAAGAGCGAGTCGAGGAGGAGGAGGAGCGAAGGGTCGGGCCCTCAAAGAGGCAAAGAACGCCGCGCGAAAACTCCCCCCCGCGCCCCTATCTCGGTTCGCTCGGGAATATTAAATTTTCAGCGCCACCGCGTTGCGAGCCCGTACAAGCCGAATTTCCTCATATATACTCGTATACATTAGTCCCCTCCGGATGGCAGTATAGATGGGATGACCGAGTCGGAGTCATCGTTGCGCGCCGATTTATTTCCCCACCGGCAAAGGACACTGACGGATCGGCACCTCGCTCGCACAAGTTTTAAGAGTTGCTTGCATTTGTTACACATCGACAGCTATAGTACACGTATAGGCAGCGCATTCCACGTAGCTTAGGGGGGGGGTGGCGAGTTTTAAAAGTAAGATACCCTTATAACTGCACGAGCGCGCTGACGAGCATCGTGGAAAATAAGTTGGCGCCCGAGCGGATTGAACTAACGCGCCGAACAATGCACCACCAGGGATTACTCCTCCTTCTCGCGGTGAGCTCTTCGGTATAGCAAAGTACCTTTCTCTTACATTCTTTTTACATTTTTATTTTTTTTTTTTTTCCTTGTTCTACGAGCATACAATCTCTTGAAAGGTGATGCTGGATGGGTATGTGCAATCGTGCAGGGGTCGGAGCGATAATATTGTGCAGCAATAAGCCAAAGTTCGCGTGATTAAGAGTTTCCTCGGTTATGTTGGACGCGGGCTTGCGGTTTTTTCCTCGCGAGGTATTATTTTTCCCAGCCCCCCCGTTGGATTCTCGTTGCTCGGGGTTTCCTTTGTACTTTGGGTTTTCTCCCCCGGCGCGGGAGACGTGTATCGGGTTTTGCAAGTTTCGAGGGAGTTTTGTAGACTAGTTTGTCGACGGCAAAGCGTATACATAGAAAGTTGCGCACCCACCGCATGTACGATGGTTTTGCGAACGATCCGGACACTGTGTCGCATGTTCGTATTGGAGGTGAAAATGATGATTTTTTTTTCCAAATTTTAGTACGTATAGCATAAAACTATGATGAAACCACGCATTGGGTGTTAATGAGTGTATCCTTCGCTTGTCGTTTCAGGCCGCAACGAGCTCATCGCCCGGTACATCAAGCTGAGGACCGGCAAGACGAGAACGCGGAAGCAGGTCTCATCACACATACAGGTCCTCGCGAGAAGAAAACTCCGAGAGATCCAGGCGAAGCTCAAAGTGGTTGGTACCCAAGTTTGTCTTTTATTCTTTTTTATTTATTTTTTTCTTTTTTTTTTTTTTTTTTCTTTAGCCACGAGAAACGATACGACGCGCACTTTTTTACCTTTCACTCATTTGCGCCCCAGCTTTTTATATATACATATACTCTCCGAAATTTATTTATTTTTTTTATTATGATTATTTCTCTCTATGCTCTTTCATGGACGTCACTTTGATACATCTACGATTCCCTTAATTCGCTCATCATCCATCTTCACAGCTCGAAGCATACGCATACACGTCATTCGATAGCAGTAAAAAAAAAAAAAAAAAAAAAAACGCGTCCGCCCTGAGCTCAACCTCGACTCTGGCCCACTAAGCGCGTAGATCACAGCTTTCGAGCTCGTTCCACTAATGGAGCCACCGCCGAATCCGAGCGAGGACACGTAAATCCATGTACACGCGTAAAAAGGCCGGCTCGAAAAACCGAGTTCGCGTAAATCAGCCGAGCTCTCCCCCGTTGTATACATATATACGTGTGTGCACCAGTGGTAACGCGACGCGTTTAATCAACATCTGAATTATTCGGGAACAATCGGCGCTGCTGCTGCAGCCGCGCTCGCGGTTAATAAATCAGGAGTCCGTGCGTTGCGAGGGAACCCTGCACCGCGTTTTGTAATTCGCTGTCTCTCTCTCTCTCTCTGCGTGCTGCAGGAAGATGGGTCGAAGAGAAATATTCGACAAGTGGATAGGGTTGCCTCGTGCGCGTTTATTGGCTTAATGAATTCCCGGATTGGCTCCATTACACGTTTCTTTTCCCTGCACGTACAGTTTACTCCCCTATACTTTGTTTTCGAGGGAAGAGCACTGTTGGCGCGAAATCCGTCGAGCACTGCATAAGGGTTGAACTAGCGTATAATGCAAGCAATACCTGTTTCATACATGATGTACGAAACCATCAAATTGTTGATACAACATTGTTGTGTCGTGAGAAATTTCGAGCACTTTGTCGAGTATTTACCGCCCGAAATTCCGGCACAACAAATTATTCTCGCCCAACCGAATATGTATACAGCAGATTGAGCTGAAAAATGCAATCATACACAAATTCCGAAAGCTGAAAATATTTCGGAAGCAACGCTGCGATGTAATAATGTTACATTGTAATGGCCAAAAACTAAGTTAATTTATACAATTTTATGGCTAATGTTCTGGTTAACATGCCTGTGCGTGCATGCGAGGTAATATCGGGAGTTTTTTGATTAATTAATAATTTTTAATGTGCGCTGAAACGAACAATTTGGCGTTACTCCGCAATATTCGCGTTTAATTCAACGCAAAATTTATACGTTGTAGTATTTTTTGCGATATTTTTAAAAATTCCACGCGAAACATGCGAAATTTTCCGGGACGCGAGCTCGCGTCTCAATTAAATTGATTAATTTCAAATTAACGCAGATTTTTGGGTATTCGCTCGATGGTACGTGTACAACAATATTCGAGTGTTTTTCGATCGAAGGGAAAACACTGCCCTCAGCGACCGGGGGATACGGAAAGTTGCGGCTTGATGAAACGTTGATCAAGTATTTTCGCTGGAAATTCATATGATTTTTATTTCCGGAAATGACTAAACGCAATTACGAGGGCTTGAAATTTTTCCCCGTAAATACTTATATCTCTTTTATACTCGATAGAAAGTTTAATTTGAAATTTGCTTTTTTTCTTCTTTTTACTTTTTTTTTTTTTTTTGCCAGAAACGTTTTTGGGATTTCAACAGGTGAATTAGTTCTTCAACCAAATCAACCATATTTTACCAGTTCTGCTCTAAACTAGATACCTTTGAACGGAAAAACCCCAATGTGGGAAATACAAAGAGTGAAAAAACTTGGCTGTCTCAGATTTAACACTCTTACGAGAAGGCCATCTCACGTTAATCGATGGAGAAAAAAAACACCGTAGTAATGCATTACATAAAAAATAGAAATTTCAATCGCGTGAAACACGGATCAACGGTTTATTCTAATGAATGAAACTACAAAACATTGATGTGAAATTTTCAAAAATCCATACCACCGCGTTTTTACTTACCAGTTTAGCAGGTGGAAGAAGGGTATAGTTCGTTAAATGTACGAGAGCCGGGAAATCGAGCCACGCGCCGCGTGTAATCAACCTTTCATCGCGTCTCGTTGAATAATCAAGTTGGATTATCCGCGTTTGATTGATTAGGACCTTTTTTTCGTTGGGAATTTGCGAGTTTTTAAAAATACATGTGCCCGCGCGGAAAGTTTATTGGACACGCGGAGAGAAAATGTTATCGATGCATTGTTCTGTCGACCATTCTGACAAATTGCTCGGTTCGGCTGTATCGGCGGGGTTATTTCCAACTCCATTCACTCTCCGCGGCGTCGTCTTTTTTTTCCCCATCTTATTGCGTTATACTCCATTCATAGCAATAGAATTTTATTTTTGCTCCAACTTTGGGATATAAATCAACTCGCTTATTATCTCGGTGAATAAATCACCAACTTTTCACCTCGAGAATGCTTACTTATTTTATTGGGCGGCGAATTGGCACTTCTTTGTCTACTTTTGATTTATCCCCGGCAAATATATTTACTCTCACGGATATGGTTCACTAGTTTTAGATAAAAAGACTATTGAATTTCATTCACAGCCATTTTTTTTATTTTTTATTATTATATAGTCTGGAGAAGGGGGTGCTTATTATTAGTAATTCAATGGCATCGGAAATATTTTTTCTTCGATTTCTAAAACACACACATTTTCGGAGAGGTTCATTCATATTTGTACTATTTTTTTCTCCACTTAAAGATATTTTTTCACTCTATTTAATTCATATAGTTTCCATTAAAAATAACATTTCCTCATATAAAATAACAATAACACACAATTATTATTAATACTAGATTAAATTTGCTTTACTCACAATCAGATCAAACGCTTATTATTGATGATAAATAACTTTATGACAATTGTAGTATTTCTTTTTTCTTTTAGTATAGTTCACATTAATATCGAAAGGAATCAAGCCGTTTACATGTATAAACTATGCATCAAGAGAGGGGGAAACAAAAAATAAAAATCACTGTTATCCAAAACCGTAAACTGTTACTTTCACACTGCGTGGCCTTGCCACTCGTTTCCATAAGACAGTAATATTTTTATTGCTTGTTTCTCTCAAATAAACAATCCCCTTGAAACAAAAAAGTACTCAAAATATTGACGTTTTCTTAAAAAAAAAAAAAAAAAAAAAAAAAAAAAAAAAAAAAAAAAAAAAAANAAAAAAAAAAAAAAAAAAAAAAAAAAAAAAAAAAAAACCAAAAAAAAAATAAAAGCCCGCAATTTTTATAATGTTTTGCGCGTACATGTGTGATGATGTTGTTGATGACGATGTGACTTCGCCAGGACCACATGACTAAGGAGAAGACGCTCCAGACAATATCATGTATGTCGAGTGCTCAGATAGTGTCGACCGGCAGCGCGATACACAACAAGATGCCCCCTGCCCTGGTAGGGCCCCTAGCCCTTCACGCTTCCACCCCCGTCTCCTATCCCGGATCGGTAAGTCCGCAGTTGAAAAAAGTGAAAAAAATTAAAAAAAAAAAAAAAAAAAAAAACACACGAGTGCGGCCGCTTTTCTCTTTCATTTCACAATTTTCCGGGAAAAAACGAGCCTCTCGCTCTCTCCACGTTTTTTTTCTCTGTCCACCGTGTGTCTCGTCTACCATATTCTACACTTCGTTTGGTCGTCTAACTCTTTGGGATTATATTTTTATACTCTTCACTTTTGTTTTTTTTATTTTCGTTCGTACAAATTGATTTACGTATTAAAAGAAAAAAAGGGAAACTAGAAAAAGTGTGGTTTACCAACGAGTTTAAAATAGCACAGTTTTCTTGAAAGCAATAAAAAATAGAGAAAATAAAAATTCTCACTCTCTCATTCGGGGTTTTATAAAGTTTTGAATTCAAAGTTACTCAAGCATTGGCTGTGCTCCAATTTTCAAATTTATATCCCTCAGCGGGACAAAGGATACATTACGTTTTACGAGCGATTAACACACCGTTTTATATACGCTTACCTTCGACTAAAATACACTAAAATTCAATCTTTTTGTACGAATTTCGCCATGTCAACGAATAAAAGTGAAGAGCTGTAATTAACACACGACGAGGGAAACTCGAATTCTTTTTAATGTCTGTAAATGTACTAACACACGCCAATAACACTTGCTTAGCCCACAAACTAATTAAATGGTGGAGAGCTTGGTTTTGATTACTATCGCTTTTATTTTAACAACAAATTAAAGAAAAAACTTTTGCAGTAAGAGTCTCAAGCTTTTTTGCGCTGTGCGCTTTTACTTTTTCAAGCAACTACTAATCGATTAGAATTAACTTGAGGTTCACAAGTGTAAAATCTCCTTTCCACGTCTTTCGTATGACGCGCGTAAAAGAAAAATCGAGGAAAAAAAAATTCCCACTCGAGAGACGCAATAAAACTCCCATAAAGTTTAAATTAGCCACTATTAAGGGAGTTGAAATCGGTTAAAAACGACCATTAATTTCAATACTTCGGAGAACCTAAGCAGCAGATGTCACGCTACATTAAACCAAATAAGAGGGGGGTGTTCTTGAGAGATTTTTTAATAAAAAAAAAAATCCCCACTGACGGAGGAAAGAGAGAAAAAAAGGGGGGAAAAAATAACACGCGTGCAGTGTGCGAGTCTTTCAATAATAACCCGTCGCATTCGTTGCGTGTGTACGCATAATGTAACGCACATTGCATGCACACGCAGAGGCGCGCTCTCAAATTCAATTAGCATACAATAGTTTCTCATTCAGCGGAAATAAGACTCGGACCTCCCTTCTCTCCCCCTTCCCGCTTCTTCGTGTTTCTCTCTTTACATGTTGCGCTGCTCTTAAACTCACCTACTCCCCATCCCCCCCCCTTTTTTTTTCTTTTACCCACATTTGTGTACACAAAGTGCAGGCGAGCTTTGTCTTTATTGCGCTGCTAAGCCTCTTTTATTTAAGTTTCTTTTTTTGTTGTCTGTCGCTTATTCGACCGCTCCCCTGGATTTCCTCCGATTGGAATATGACGCAAAGAGAGAAAACCGACCGAGGGGGAGCTTTCGCAACGAAGCACGCGATTAGCACTTGTGATATCCACGTTGTGTAACGCATCACTCTGTACGTTGCGTTTTATCGTTTTCGGTGTGTTTCGCGAATAAAGGAGAGCGTGACAACGTGCAACCGATCGCGCTCGGTACCGCATGGTATACCTTTCAGCGGACAATTACGAAAACACCTGCCTTTTTTCCCTACATACCAAGCCTATATACGTGCATTTCAAGAGTCAAGTGTCAACTGCTTAAATGTTTTCACGTGTTGTGATCGTCGTCGCCCCCTGGGGGTGTCCTTCTTGTTGTGTATATTGTTGGAATAACTACATAACTTCTTTGTCGTTTCGTCGAACGCGTGTACATTGTGATGACAATATAGAAATAATAATGGAAATTCCAGCGCAATTAATTATTGTGCAGTACTTTACACATAGTGCAACTGTTAATTACACTTATATCCAAACCCTTTTTGAGAAAAGTACAATGTACGCGCGCAGCTTGAACATAGGTTTATGTGTTTTGCTTGAAAAAAAAAAAAAAAAAATCCGTCCTTGCCTCGTACCGTCCATTTGTCCTATTGACTTATATGTTTAATTTTTCTTCTTTATTTTTTTTTTATATCTGGTCCTGTTCAAACTATTGTACTGTATCATGAATATAATAAAATATACGTGTATGTTTGTTGTTGACGTCTGCAATATGTGTGTTAAAATGTGTATGCACCTGCGACTCGTCGATCGTTGCCTTTCGTCTTGATTAAACGAAAGCATCAGCCGTTATTTCACCAACAGCCAAAGTAATCCAACAAAGAGGAGATAATAAAGCGCAGTGGCAAAATCGACGATTCGCAGGGGGTGGATTAACCCCTCGTTTGCGCCGAGTTTCGCTTCGTACGAAGGACCTGCCGGAGAGCGAGAGGGTGTCCTCCGAAAAGAATCGGGAGGGGTTGGGCTCGTAGTAATAACTCGTGAGTCCCCGAGCATACGATTAAGGGTGACGTCGGCTCTGTGTTACCAGCAATTCTGGCAGCCGGGCCTGCAGCCGGGCACGTCCCAGGATGTCAAGCCATTTCCACAGACGGCCTACGCCGGGGGCAAGCCGGCGACGGCCGTGTCGAGCAGCGAGATGGTCCATACGCAGCCGCCGCCCCCCTGGGAAGGCAGGGCCATTGCGACGCACAAGCTCAGGCTCGTCGAGTTCTCCGCCTTCATGGAACAACAGCGCGACCAGGACAACGTTAGTATTGTGCCCGTGAGCATTGACCAATCTTTCTTTTATTCCTTATACGTATTTTACCTGTACCCTCGTTACCGTTACTCACTACACAGGTATATACTTGCTTTTTCATCTCATGTTGCATCTTGAGATACCTCATACTTTTGGGGTTTTTTTTTTTTTTTTTTTATTTTTATTCCATTTTTTCACAATGTATAGAGAAACGAGAGAGAAGTCGCTTCCGACGGAAGAATTTTTGATTCTCATTTTTCGGAGAAAAGTATACCTGTTGTAACCAACACGGGGAGTAAAGGTTGCGAGGATCTATTGTTCAAACGTTCCATTGTTTTACGCTGATAAGAAAAAAAAAATTGTTAACTTATTTCCTATGATTTTGTTGCGGGACAGTACCAGAGGCACCTGTTCGTCCACATAGGAGGCTCGGCGACCTACAGCGATCCGCTCCTCGAGGCGGTCGATGTCAAACAGATATACGACAAATTCCCGGAGAAGAAGGGCGGCCTCAAGGAGCTCTACGACAAGGGCCCCCAGGCAGCCTTCTTCCTCGTCAAGTTCTGGGCAGATCTCAACAGTAACATCCAGGACGAGGCCGGGGCATTTTACGGAGTGACGAGCCAGTAAGTACATTCATTGTAATATTTGTTTTGTTACCTTTTTCTGCTACCTCTCGGGGTATCATATCGAGGGTATTATATATTATTCCCATGTAAAACACCGTACGTCTTCTAACGTGTTTGGCTAAACTTCGGTCCCTTTGATTACCTTTACCGACCTTCCAGTCATCATGACATTTTATACCGTATTCTCGTGGTTCCGACTGTAAGGTCCACCTGGATATACTGGACCAATAATCAGTGTAGAGACACTCTTAAACAAAGCACACTTTCTGACCTTCTCAGTAGTGTCCACTGTGAGCACTTATTTGCACAAAAAACTCTCTACGTGGGTACATTGAACATGAAAAGATGATAGTAATTGCGATTCAGGCGGTATCAATCAGAGATGTGTAATAACGATCGCGGGGTTGTTTCGTTAAACAGGTACGAGAGCAACGAGAACATGACGATAACGTGTTCGACGAAGGTCTGCTCGTTCGGCAAGCAGGTGGTCGAAAAGGTCGAGACGGAGTACGCCAGGTTCGAGAACGGAAGGTTCGTGTATCGCATCAGTCGCTCGCCCATGTGCGAGTACATGATCAACTTCATTCACAAGCTCAAGCACCTGCCCGAAAAGTACATGATGAACAGCGTACTCGAAAATTTCACCATACTGCAGGTACAGGACCGTGTAACGATTACAAATTTTTTTATTCTTTCTCTTTGTCATCGATGAAATTCGAATCGCTGGTTTAACGTTTTTTTTTTTAATTTTTCTTCACAGGTCGTGACGAACAGAGACACGCAGGAGACGCTGCTCTGTACGGCGTACGTCTTCGAGGTCTCGACGTCGGAGCACGGTGCCCAGCATCACATATACAGACTCGTCCAGGAGCCATAGCCTGCTGCTTGATCACGACAATTATGAAGATGAAGATACGATGATAATGATGATGATACGATGATTATATGATGATTATGATGATAAAGATTATTCTGCTCGCTGTGCAGCCATCCACCCCCCATCAGTGCCTATCACAACACACTTATGTCATCTCTGTACTGTTACTGTATAACACAACACACACACACACACACACACACACACATCGACACAAAGATAGATCTAGAACACGAGGTCCATTGAACATCATAAACGTGCTACATGAGGTCTTGACACTAGAAGCACGCCAAAATTTTTACACTTACCCATCACGTACACGCGCACGCATGCATATATACGAACTACGTAAGATAAAGATGTAAGAAGCGTATATTGTAATTGATACATGAGGGTTGTGTGTTTAGCTAAATCTATAGAAAAAGAGACTTACAAGAGACAGGGAGAAAAAGAGAGAAAGAGAGAGATATGAATTTTCTTTTTTTTTTTTTTTGTATTGTTTTATGGCTAAAAACAGTTTCTGTCCAGCGTGAATGGAAGCTAGAATAAAAAAATAAAAATAAATAAAAAAATAAATAAAAAAAAAAGAGAGAGAGAAAGATAAATATTGCGAATGAATAAAATAGTAAAAGAGATATAGGTATATGCTTACACGCACACGTAACGCAAACACGTATTGACACCAGTGTGTGCCGGCCAATCCGCAGATCCGAGATTCTATTGTAAATGAAAAAAAAAGAAAAAAAAATCAAGAAAGAAAATTGGTTTTTCTTCAGTAGATAAATGCGAGTATAGTGTTACTTGCGTGATTTATCATTTGTGTAAAAACAACTTTATCCGAATCGAAACAGTGATGTATGGAAAACCTTTGACAATAAAAAATATTAATAATAATAATAATAATAATAATAATGGTAAAGTTGACGCGTGTGTTTTTCGTTTTATTCATTGCAGGCCAACTTTGAAACAGTAAAATGTGCAAGAAAGGCACAACGCTGTAATAGGTGTTCTCTCGGTCGCTGAACATATTCCATTGTGTTACAACTTTTTAGGTCTCTTATGCTTTTAGAGTCAAACAACGAGGCCTAAAATTGATTTGATAAAAAAAATGAAGTTGTAAAGTCTATAAAAAATATCTAATACATGTTGTGCCATTTTTGTACGTGCTACTTTTTATATGGTGCTGTGTTATTTGTCTTTGCAAAAAAAAATGAGATTTCTTTGTAAAAAGTAAAAAAAAAGAAAAATCAAAGATAAAGTAATTAAATATAAATAATACGGCAAAATTTATCTCGGAGCTGCTTGGCGTGAACATGACTTTAGTATTTTATTTTACACTTGAAAATAAACATGGAAAAATAAAAATAATGAGACAAGACACAGAAACACTCAAGTATATACATATATCACACATAGGGTTATATGTATATGTTAAATATTAAGGCAATGATTACGATTCACATTGTTACGCATGATTGTGTATAAAAGATGTTTTAAGTTAACAAACAAATCGAGAGAGAAAACGCTCAAGAGATGCCATTTGCGAATGTTTATTTAGGATTCTTTTCTTTTTTTTTTTTTTTTTTTTTTTTAAGATAAACTCATGGCTCAATACTTTTTGCTCTTTCTTATCTTTTTGCAATCAATCAACGTCACATATCGCAAAGTTGAAAAACAGTACATGGCAAAGGAGCCTTCACTTTCTACACGGCTTTTATCATTGTAAGAAAGATATTAAGCAGCAAAAAAAGCATGCTTCGTTCAATTGTGTGTACAAAAGAGAACTCATGCATCTCGGGTCAGAGAGAAAAAAAGGAGCTTTTGGTTGACAAGTAGCTACATTTTTTTTGTCACACATGTTTTTAATTTTCTTTTGTTTAGACGAATTTTACCTACTACATACTACACAACAATTTACGTGCGATCCCACCCACTTTTTAGGCATCGATGCTTAGTTTTTAGGGAGATGTGTTTGTATTTATTATAATCACCTTTGTACTTTTTAAGGCTCCTTCTATTTTCTATAGTTCTTAATACATCGATGAATTTCTTACTTTAGCGAACAATTTGTTTTTACTTTTTATTACGTTTACAAGAGAATATTCAATACCGTGCTGCACAATACACCTATACATACTTTACTTTTCCCCTCCCGCCCTTTTCCTTTTGCAACTATTTTACCGACTGTATTTTTGCGTTACAAGAAAAAAAGCCGTTGCTTTGTACATTCAACCTTTTCGTACTTAAATGAGTGAAAAGCTGGGAAAAGACTTCTAGTTGACACTTCTTCTTCGAAATGAACTTAAATTTTATTCGACAGTAAAGTAAAACATTAAATCGCTCTTCTCTTTTTTACGACCAACATATGTACACAAATTTTTTTTTTTTTATCCACGTTCTTTTTCTCAGCATCTTTTTTCGCAACAGAACTTGCCTATCAAGCATTGAAGAAAAAAAAAGAAAAAAAAAGAACACTAACCATAAGAAAAAAAATACACCTTACTTTTAAGACTATGTTAATTTAATTACTGTACTGTTACTTTAATTAATGTTTACGAAACAAGTGGCAATGTATTTTGATCTCTCTTTTTAGTCAGAAATATGTCTTTATTATTATTTTTTTGTTTTTTTTTTTTTTAATTCAGGGTGAGACGAAAAAAATTTATACTGAGCGATTATTATTATTATTATTACTACTAAATATATATGCAATCGGGAGAATTTTATACGTCCATTAGCGTGTGAAAATTCAAAAAGAATTTTAATTTGAAAATATTTGCAGCTGCTGTATTTTTTAGTAATTGTTTTATTTTTCATATATCCATTGGTTTTATTGCAGGGTGCTACTGAACAAAAGCAAAATAAGTATCAAGAAAAAAAGAAAAAAAAAAAAAAAAACAAGATTCGTCATTACAGAAGAGAGATTATATATTAACACGATTGGCCGTTTTCACAAATTGGTAAAAAAAAGTATGTCGGCCTCGCGTTTAGAATACATACTTCGTGCATGCACACAGTGTTAGCGACGCTATATGAATGATCTCTGTTTTTTTTTTTTTTTTTTTTTTTTTTAGAACGAAGTTTTTTTAGTTACTTAAGGTTCGTTTTGAATGCCAAAATCTGCAGAGCGAAAATCTTTTTAATATCTCTTGGCTAAGAGACAGGGAGAAAAAGAGAGAAAGAGA